AGAGTCAGCGTGCTGAAGCTGCTGCCGTCACCAGCACTACTTTCAGCATCCCAGCTGCACAAGGAGCTTTTCTTACTGTCCGTGTCAAAGGCAGAGCTGGCGTTGCAGATGACAACCACACACTGTTCATTCCCATATCAGACAGGAGTTGTCTGTCATTGCCATCTAGGCTGGAAAAGACCTTCAGGGTCATCAAGTCCAACCATCTTGAAGTGGAAGTGCAGCTCATGACCTGGTTTTTATACTTCCCAAAGAGTACAGAGGTCCTCATGTCTTGTACCTTATGGAATCAGCAGGGTCTCCTCTCCACAGAGGTCTGAGCTTCTTTCCCTGTCAGCGTTGTGGGCAGAGCAGGAGATTTGGGTCATGGCCTGGGTCTTCTCATCCTCTTGCATCTCCTACATCTTGGATACAGCTGGAAGTACAGCTCTCGATCTGAGTCCTCACAGGGTAGAGAGATGCCACCCACGTATCTTGGGCAGGGCTTTGATCTCACTGAGATCTCACAGAGACAAGGTGGGATAGCTCACCCACCATGCTGGGCACAGGCCTTTCAGAAAGGACAAGGCGGGGGACAGCAAGGAAGGGCAGTTGCACTGCGTGTGAGGGCAGTGGGGATGCACAGAGCTCTGCCCTGGGCTGGGGATGAGCCAGTTAAGAGCTTGTTATCTTTGATGATAAGCTTATCATTTTGCAATAGTGTTTTAAGTGGGAAGAAGATAAGTTTAAAGAAAATAAACCATAGAGTAACCCATTAGTTTCTGGGATATGACAAGCTCTGCGACCAAATTTCATGCAGACTCCTGCTGGCTTTTGCTTCTCTGTCCTTTCAGCACATATGTAAGGTGAAAATTAATTCCAAAATGAAGATAATGTCAGACTAAGACAGCGTCTGACAGTTGTGGAATTGTTCTGCCCATAGAGAACTGCATTTCAGACAGCCTTGAACATCTCTATAGCCCTTTTTTGGCCTTTAGAAAGTGTTCAGTATTTTTTCATGTCCTGTAGAGAAAATGTAAAAGGGTCTATAGGCTCATTTGTGCCCCAACATTTCATATATTTTTAGAAATATTAACAAATTACACACTTCAGAATATCATTTATGACACTCTGGTGGATCTTTTAAAATTTCTTCTTCTAAAAATTACCAAAGTAATTCCCCTCACTGCAGATTTTGTAATGATGGTGACTCTCTGAGTTCAAGTGGGCTTTCTAGTAAAGCTTCAGTTCAAATACATTCATAGTGAAAAGAGAGAAATCTAGAAATATCACTGAAATGTTCATGCATGTTTTTGGTATACAAGCATGTTGACTACAGCATCCTGCAGGTAATTCACAGTAACCAAATAGATCAGTCACATTACTGTAATTTGTTTTTAATTTGGGTCTGCTCTGTAAAAATCTGTCTTGGAATTCAAAGTTTGAAGTGGCATCACAAACCCATGAAGTCAATACTGTGGGTTTTGGGGGAGCGACAAGCATTCGTATTCTTTTACATATGAATAACTCATATGCAGTACAACTACTACTACTACTGTGAAGTGTTTTGTTGGGGTTAGGTCTAGGTAGTTATTGCCAGGAAAACTTTACACACATCAACAGTTTTACTCTGCAGGACTGAAAAGCAGCTTATCCAAGGAAGGTTTTGTAGTCTCATGCTGTAAGTAATTTTTCTGTTACAATCAGTGTTTCTTAAAGTCAGCATACTTGGTTATTATAACTGTATTTTATTCTGCAATGTATTCTTCCTAAGTATAATCTCTGACATGTACACTTAACTCCTGGTCAAGAAAAAACAGTAATGTCACCAGGTGCAGTTTTGGAGGAGCTAGCTATGTGATAATTTTTAACAGCCTATATGCTACAGCTGGTTTGAACCAGCTGCTTTGGTCACTGCCCTTAGCTCACTCATTTCACCTGCAGTCATGCTGATTCTAAGGCCCTGATTCCCTATGACATTATGGAAGAAATCTAAGTTTACTACTGTATACTCAGTTGCACTGAAGGGCATAGGTTGTTTCTCAGAAAAATGTGACTTATGAAAAATAAAAAAGATAACGTGAGTTGTTGCAAAATCTGATTTAAGTGCTAGTACTTTCGTCGTGCAATTACTTTTGTGGGGGTGATGTGTACAGGTCTTGCAACCTAACAATTAGTTAGGCTGAATGTGACTGTAGCAGAGAAGACAAAACATCAAGCAATCCTTTGTTTATTACTGGTCAGTTGTACAATTTGTAAGGATGACAAATGCTGATGGATCAAACAGGTGATTTCATTGCTCCTCTTTAACAACACAACATTGTTGTTAACTTTTTTTTATTTTTTTAAATTTTTTTTTTTTTTACAAATGATGCCCCAGCTCATTTTACTGTGGGAGGATCCTTTGTGAGATACTTAAGATTAAACCAAACCTATATGTTCTAGTAACAACAAAGGAACATTTTTCTTTGAAACTGGTGGGTGGATAAAATTCTTTTATAACTTTTTTTTTGTATAACAAAAAAAAAAAAAAAAAAAAAGAAACCTCCAACAACAAACCTCTGCGGGTTGTATGGAGAACTGCCACATGCTTCTCATAGATTCCAAATTTCTGCCATAGCAAGTCCCACTGGTTTCAACCACAGGCTTTTTTGTTTTCTGTATTCTCTTTTGTAACCCTCAGCAAATGGAGGCAAGGCCAGAATTTCTGGAAAACAAGAGCGAGAGGCTGCAAGCCAGGCCTACACTGCTGCATTCCTCTGCAATGGTAGGCCACCGTGTGGGCTTCACTTCGTCTCTTCATTGTAAGGCAGTGGCAGTGGCAGGGATAACCAATGACCAGCTGCATGGAAACACGCAGAGTGCAAGGTAGCTAGTGCAATCGAGTGGGTTGGTTTTAACTGCAACCTTGATATCAAAAATAACTTTTCCATGAGGGATATTTTTAACTTTTTTGAACGCCTCTTTTTTCTTTACTTTTATTTTTCCTCTGCTCATAAGCATAAATCACCTTTGAGTACCCAGGAAGCAAATAACAAAGTCCACAACAGTTTTCTTCTTGTTACAGTTGGTACCATGTACTCCCAAGTCATTACTTTTCTTTACCTAACTGCACTGACCATCTACATGTAAGGGCAGCAGATGGATAGAGAGCCTTTCTGCAAGACCTCAGAAGTTGAGAGTAACTGGTTAGTCTGTACAAAGATGCATCACCCCACTGCAGAAATATATATATCCTCTAGTTTAAATAAAACACAACTACAACAGGGGAAGAGGAGGAAATGAAGCTCAGTGCAGCTACAAAGAAACATGTAACATCCTCCCTGCCCCCTGCTAATTTCTTGCATGTTGAATCTGGTGGTAGTGTGTGACTTTTAGAGTAAGTTTAAGAAAAAATGGTCTGTACCTATGTTTTCTGATATGTTCAGCATTGTCTGTAATGGAAGAAGATGCATAGTTGCTATTTGATTACTGCTGCTGTTCCTATGGTTTGAAAAACATTGTGGGCTGTCTTTCTGTGATCTTTTTCCTTTGACATGGCCATAATGAACGAGGCTATTTCAGCTGCTGTCACAGCTCATCTTGCTGCTTTAACTGAGCATCTGTGAGAAGGGCTAAATTTCTTCAGTTAAAAAGAAGTTACTTGCAGACAAATAACACAGAGTAAACAAGTTTGGGGATGACATGACATTGTTTTTCTTCCATCAAGTGTAAAAGCTGGCTCCCAGAGAGCATCCCCTCACAGTGGGTAACAGGACGTTAACGCATGTCAGCCCACAGTAACCACATGTGCTTCCTGTTAACATCCAGCCTTTGGGCACTGACTACAGCACTGAGCTATTGCTGCACAGACTGCAAGTGTTTTCACATCTCTGACATGCAGATGCTAGGAGTTATATGCCCCTTGGTGAAAAGCCTCACAATAAGTGAGTTTTCCAGCGGGGGAATCCTGGTGATGGCATATCCAAAATCTGTTTGACTCGGTATTAGTAGTTATACCACAGTGATACCATAAAACTTAGTTGCCTTCAGTGGAATAATAATGCTGAACCCAACTGTAATGAATGTACAGTGTGTTTTAATTTTTGTTTCATAGACCCAGTCCACTCAAATCATTAAATTACAGCCAGGTCTGTAAAAATTAGGTGTTGTTTGCTAATTCAAGAGGTAAGACTTCAGCATTTTCATTAGAGTGTCACCGTTCCAGCTACACGTCACATTCTTGCATGTTTTCATCTGGTCATTGATTGTGTTTGAGTTTTACCACATAAGCTGAAAAGATCAGTGTAATTACCCTACCAAACAGAACACCACACCAACACCCAGCACCAGGACCTGCTTAATATAGGGATCTATTCTATTTCATGTTTATCATCTAGTTTTTAAGCATTGGGTCCTTGAACTGAAAGAGGCAGATTTAGAAGAAGATGTGTGATATTTGCTGTTAAATAACATAATTTACTAGTTGTGATGCCTATAATTTTATAGTGTGCCTCCATGTAAGCGTGACCTCGAAACAGTTGTCAGCACAGTGAACAGTGTTTTTTATTTTAAGCAGATTCTGTGGAACCCCTACAAGCTGCTGCTGCTTGCATAAACAGCGCAGTGACAGGGCCCAGTACTTAAAATCCAAAAGTCCTTTCTTGTCCCACAAGCAGCAAAATGTCAGATCTGGAAATCAGTATTAGAGGACCAGAAGCAGCAAAAATGAGATTCAGCTGCATTCAAGCCCAAGTCTGTTCCTACAGGATATTGAAGGCTTTTGTTTTTCCCCTCTTAGTCAGTCTCACATTTCTGAAAGAACTGACACAAAAGAGATGTCTGCATGTAACCCTTTTTCTCTTATCAGTAACCTTTGGGATAAACTACTTCACAGATAGATTTTTTTCCAGCTTTGGTTCATGAGCTCTGGGAACTACATTTCACGTAGCTGAGGGAAGCCCTGAAAATGGTGCATCTCAGGATCACAGTCAGACCTACTCTCCCTTGAGCACTGAAAAAACTGAGAAGAAACTGGCAGGTCAGCGTGGATGGAAGGTTTATTTTTCTCAGTGTCAAAAGAAGAACAGCACTGGTATTACAGACACCTTTGGCAGCCAGCAAGTGTCCCCTGGGGAAGCAGGTTGTGAGTCATTTCAAGGGAGACTTTACTGAGCACCTTGCCCAGTGAAATACCTGGCTGTGAATTATGTCACAAATGTTTGTCAAACACTGGATTTTCTTTCAGCAGCTCTGGAATACATTTTTAAGTTAGTATCAGAAATTAAGTAAGGATTTGTACTTACATCTTTCATATTGCAGTAATTAATATCTGAAAGAATTGCTGAATAGCACTCTCTTATGCAAACTGAATTTCTCCCCCACTACAAAGTACACCGAAAGTAGAGAGAACCCCTCCTATTCCCCCTAACTGAATGTGGTATTTCTTTCCTTCAAAATCTGAGCATAAATAGTGTCGGCACGCTGTCATCCCATTCTCCTGCTGAGCCTGCAAAGACAGGTATTTCTGTAATTGGATGTGACCTGGCACTGCCCTTCTCCCCATCAAAACCTTTCTGCCTTGTCACGCGAGCTCTGCTGCAAGGGCAAGCTCTGTTTCCGCATCAACCACTCTTCAGAGAGAGAGGGCCAGGGTGCACTTGGAGCAGTGAGGTGTTTGAGCAGTCAGCAGCTATGCCAAGACAGAGATACTAACGACGGTCTAGCAATTAATAGATCATATGTGTTCTATCCATTTTTAGGCTGGCAGTAGCCCTAGGTTGGCATAATGCTGCCTGCACAGGTTGGCTGAGAACTGCTATTCCCTCAGTCAGCAGGGGTGCATGGAAAGCAGCATCTAGCAGGCTCCTCGCCTTCTTCTAAGTGAAATCTTAAGTGAAAGTTTCATCCATCTGGCCACAGCAATGCAGTCTAATGTCAGCTCTGAAAACGTGTCATGCCTTTACCAACAGCAGTAAAATCCTTTTCTGCGTGCTTAGTCAATGAGCTTTAGACCCATGCTATGTGTTGGGTTAATAAACTCGGTCTTTTACTTAGTTCAACAGAATTAAATTAAACTTTGTCTTGAATGGAGTTCAACAGAAGTGTAAATATGACTCTGCAGGTAAAATAGGTAGTTAAGAGCCTATGCTGGGCCAGATATGTTTTGTTTGTTTGTTTGTTTTTGTTTTTCTTTCCACTTCTTACTCTATTTTGAGTACTAAAGTTTTCTTGGTGTTGTTTTTTTGTTGTTGTTTTTGTTTTTTGTCTGGTTGGTTTTGTTATTTTTGTCTGAGGAAAATTGTGCCACTTTATGCCCATTATTCACTGCTTCATCAGAGTAGGGTAAAAGTATACTGGGCTAATCAATGAAATGGAAACCCTTTTATTCTTGTCTAGGAAAAACCTTATATGCTCTGTAATGTCTGAGGTGGGCAATGAGTGAAGAGTCAAAGGATTGCATGTTATGCTTAGCAGGTGGTTTGCCATTTTTGTGGGGGAAAAGTCCAAAGGACTACAATTTGACAGACTCATTGCAAAAGCTAAGTTTCCTCTGCAAATACTCATCCTGTGCTACGAAGTTACATTGAAGCTATAGAAAACTTAGGGTGGATTTTTTTCCCAGAAGTGGTAAGTTTTGTCAAGGAGGGAGGGAGTATAGTGAGCTGTAATGGAAGTGGTCTCTTGGCTCACTACAACTGGAGCATTGAACCCATGTGGATTTGTATTATGAGACACAAGTTTCCCTGCACTTGTTTTGCTAGGGAAATAGGAAAAAGAGTTGTGTAAAGGCTAAATGCACTAGCAGATTGGTTTGGGTTGTGTTCAGAGCTATGACCAACTGTCTTTCACACCATTATGCTGCACAGCATATTCATGACAGAAGTATTTGGTCAGAGTTGACTTCCAACAATTTGACAAGCATCAGACAAACCTGGTAAATAGATCTGTGAAGTAAAATGTCTGATGGCGTATTGCCTTCTAACCAAATCGGTAAAGTTAGGCTGAGAGCCATTTTTGTCTCCTGTATCTTAGCATACATAATGAGAAATCAAACTTTGCAGTTCAGATTGAATAATGCAAACATAATTCTTTTTTTCTCTCAGCCTAAATACTTATTGAAGCCTAATTGCTGTAGATGTGCCATTCTGCTGTGAGTTGCACTGCAGTCAGAGTACAAAACAAGAGCTGGACTGTACCTTTCAGTGGTACTCAAGGGAGCAAGTGCAACCTCCTCAAGAATTTTGATCAGAAAACTCTTCTATTTTCTTCAGCCACTTAGGAAATGACCAAGAGATCTGTAACCTTGTTTGCTGAACCAGTTTATTGGTTTGTACCCCTTCTGTCATTGTCTTTTCTCCATTTCTTTTAGTTTGATCAGCAGGTGCACCCACCGCACACCAAGTGGTGCAGTGCTCCTCTGCACCACCTCCAGTGGCGGAGGAGCCAGAACCGGCCTTGGTATTTCTGGCAGATGACCTGCACTGGTCCACAGATTAAATAGTTTTTCCATGCTTGCCTTTGCTACTCGATGCTGCTGAGCACCAGATAGTTGAATTGTGTTTCTGAGGAAATCAAGTGTTGAACTGGCCTGACCTTTATTTGACCCTAGCTTTCATAGCATATCACTGTGTCTAAATATTAGAACTGAACTGCCTAAAAAACAAAAGACAAATGTTGAACAGCACTATGATCTCAATGCAGAGTTGGAACCCAAACATCCTCAGCTGCAGTTCCTGTGTAGTGATGCTGGACTGGCTTTTTCTGTCCTTTCCATTCTTTCAAATGTCTCAATGTTACCCTTAGAGTTACTAAAAGCCATATATTCCAGAAGAGACTTTTTTCAGCCTCTCCAAGTAATGCAAGGCAAACTACTACCTGTACACTGCGCATATACCTTACTACTGCTTCAGTTTACTAAACATCTTGAAATCTTAGTCATTATGAAGCCGAGTAATTTTTAGGTGTAACTTTCAACTGTTTAAGTGACTGAATACAGGTAAGTCAGTATAAAATTCCACATTTTGCTATTTTATCATCAGCATTTCAGTAAACATACTGAAATATAGTTAGGATTAACTGTTTTGTGTTGTGTTTAACTATCTAGTTGTCTCATCATAGAAGAGAGAGGAGAAATACACTTTGTATTTTTTATGCTGAAGAGCACCACTTCATAAATATACATGACTTACGCAGAAAGAAAAGTTGATTCAAAAGGTCCCTAAAGTTAAGTGAGATCTTTTTCATCTTCGTACCTGGAGAAAAAGAAGGAAACAAGAAGGAAATTAGTAATCAGTAACAGCGATCTATAGTTATTGTAAAATGTAGTAAGTATTCAGTGTTGTGACTTTGATTACCTACTTCTGATGTTTGTAAAATCTCCGCCTGAGATGGAGATCTCACTTCGTATAAATCAAGTTTTGATAGTAGCTATTCAAGCCACAGGGCTGAGAGGTTCCAGCTAATTTGAGGCTTATACAAGAGTGTTGATTCCCAAGAAATGGGATAAACTGCTTCTGCCAAACTGAGCATTAAGGCATGGTGGTTGTGAAAATAGAGATGGGGCATGACTCATATGGGCAGGCAATGGGAGTTAGTTTTAATATTGCTTCTTTGAAAGCACTCCTGGAGTTTCTGTTAATTGTATTTCACTAAGAGACTGGATTTGTTGGTCCATTCGTGTTCCTTCATTTTGGGAGTCACTGCATGTACAGGGAGCAAACAGATTGGCCGCTGTCACCAACATGGCCAGGGAAAGCTGTGCCAGTGGCAGGCTCTAGAGCTGCACTGCTCGAGGGGTTGTGGGAAGGTGACATTGCCTGCAGGAGTAGTCTTCTGCTGTGCCTGAAGCGACAGATCCCTGCTTGCTTTTGGGATGGAAATCTGCTTCCCACACTCCCACTTGTACAGCTTTCAATGTCTTTATTCACTTAAATGCAAATACAAGAGCATACACTTTAGTAGCCTTTCAGTTATGCCTATGGCAATGCATTCTGCTATATGTACTCTTAAAATTAACCCATTTTATGAGAATTAAAAAAATAAAAAATGCCTGAAGCCCTCTTCTTCCCTGGGCAGCTTTTTCTTGTACAAATGACATGCTATAGGAAGGGTGCTCTTGTTTATTCTATGTCTTAGACAACCTTGTCAAAGCAGGGCTTCGTCTTGCTGGAAGAAACAAAGAAAGTATCAGTACTGTGTGCACTGCATTTATGATGGGCCTTAATGGAAGAAGTCTAAACATTTGTTCCTGAATCAACCAATAGGCATATTTCTCTGTGTGCCATTAGTTCTGGTTATCCTTAAGGTATCATTAAAGGGGTCTGACTCTCTAAATGCACGTGAAGGCTTGGCTTACTTAGCTCAAATATTAACAGTATCTCTCAGTTGTATATTTTTAAATATTAGAAAACACTGAAGTGTGCAAAAATTCCATAAGAAAACTTAAATGTATGCTTTCATTACTGAAATAGAACATACAGAAAGATTTATACTTCGCATCTCACTGCATATGCATTGGGAGAAGCTACTTTTATGGCACAAATGCCCTTTGTTGCTTACCAATACACGTATTCAGAGACACAAAGCACAACTGTTGTAAAAAATATTAGTATGCAGATGCTCTAGTGTTTTGTTAATGCATTTAATTAAATACAATAGCTCTTTTGTTCATTTTTCTTTTTCTGGCCTTGAATGGATTTGTATTATGGTATAGAATCTAGGGTTATAGCTGCTAGTTGAAATGTTTTGCCGTTTCTGAAAGTGTCACATCTTCGTGATGTTACTTTCTCTTTCATTTGACTAAGAAAAACAGTCGAGGGTTTTAATAGTTCCTAAGAAATCTGAAATCATCTTTTCAGGAAAACCAAAATCACAAAGGTGCCAGCAAATAATTTCCTTTTCTCCACTGATGAGGTCTGAAGTTGCAATTAGCATTGGTTAAATAATAGTATTCCTGAGAAACATTTTCAAATGTTTTAACCGAAGAAAAACCTCTCAAAGTTTTCCCCAACATTTTCTAGGTAGTTTCCAAAGGTGCACAGCAGAATTGCATGATGTATTTTTATATGAAAAGCTGTGTAAAACTGCAGCAGACTGATGACAATAAATTGTAGCCTGGTGAGTAGCAGGTGCCTGTTTGCGGAAACCAGCATTACTGTCTTGTGCGGTTATCCATAAATTTATTTCAGAATTAATCTCAGCCTGAGAAGAGGTTTCTTCAGTGCCCTGTGGGTGGGAAAAGCAATTTGAAATGACTGTGTCAAGTCTAAGATTGCTCTGGTGAATTAGCGAAGTATTTGAGTCTTGGCTACAAACATAACGGTATTTGCCAGAATCGCTCCTGCTTATGGAAACAAAGACCAAATCAAACAGGAATGAGATAATTAGAAGATCCTAAAGCTAAAGGTAATACATGACTGACTGCAACTTATGCATTTTCAAGTTCTGTTAACTCCAAAAAATGGTCTTTCTAACATGGGGTGAGCGTGTGAGAAGCATTTACTCTGAAGGCTTAAAGGCTACTTCCCAAGCAGTAACCTACTAATACTTTTTTTTTTTTTTTTGGTATTCTTTGGTGGTAAGATATATTCCTCAGTTGGATGCAGTAAGAATAATGTGGAATGTAAGAAAAAGCACTAAGTTTTATGTCACTTGTAGAAGCAGATGTTAAGGATTGAGTGTGCTGTAACTGATTTTTTTCAGATATTTTACTGCGTGTGTCAGAACACAACTATAGAGAAGGCAGCAAACACTTCATTCACTTATATTAAGGAGGTCCGCCTCGGCTCCTTTCTTGGCTAAATGCTCATCAGGTTCTGGTAATTCTTATCATCACTTTTCACAAGTAATAAATGCATATTATATCATTTTGCTCCAGGCCTTCAATCAGCATCAGAGCAAGGACATCATATATAGAAGGCCAGGCTCACACATGGAGGAAAAACTGTTATGGGAGACAAAGCAGAAAATTACAGCCAAGTATTCTCCACTTTTTTGAAGTGAGGACAATTTAAATAATAAGAAAACCCTCACGCCTCATTATGCTTTTGGTTGTTAATGAAGTAACAGTGAGAAATTCAAAATGGGGACAGACCTGAAGCGTAGAGATGCTCTGACAGCACGGGGACGAATATGCAGTTGGGAAGACACAGCTGGGCATGTTGCTTTAACTATATTTTTTCCTGTTCTGGAGACAAAGAGCAGAGTTTAGAGTTCCAGTCTACAACGGGAAGTACTGGAAATCCAATTGTCCAGACATTGTGCCTGAAAGCCCAATCAACAGTAAAACTTCCACATAAAGTTAATTTCAGTTGTGCTTCCAACAAGTATTAATCTATTTACAAATACTAGTTAAAAAAAGAAAAAGAAAAAAAGAAAAAAAAAAAACACATAGAACTGCTTCAGATTTTGTGTGAGAACATCATCAGCGTTTCAGTTGCAAGATAGCTTAATGTTCTGACAGGCTGCTAGGGAACATAGTTTCGCTGCAACTGCACAGCTTACGGGTTTTGTATGAAATGGCCATCTCAAGGCCAGGGAGAGAAAGCAGCATTGTTCCCGGGCTGTTTTTCACAGGCCTGTATTCATATCTCATCCTTGTTGTTTGCAGGAGAGGCAGATGTGAACCAGAACAATGGGACCTCCACGAAGAGCCCAGCGGTGACAGACTCCAAAGGCGCAGCAGACCCGAAGAATGCCTGGCCCGAGGCCAACCCAGCTGACACGAGCGGTCGCCCCCACTTGATCCGCCTCTTTTCCCGAGATGCCCCAGGAAGAGAAGACAACACCTTCAAAGATCGGCCCTCCGAGTCAGACGAGCTACAGACCATCCAAGAGGACAGTGCAGCAGCTTCAGAGAATTCGGATTTGATGGCTTCGCAAAAACGCTCCTCGTTCCGGCACGGATCAAAAATGGCCTCTGCAAGCACTACAGACCATGCTCGACATGGATCTCCAAGGCACAGAGACTCGGGTCTACTTGACTCGCTGGGCAGATTCTTTGGAGGTGAAAGACACGTTCCCCGGCGGGGCTCGGGCAAGGTGAGCTCTGAGGAATAGAGAACTGCACAGCTACAACAAAATAAAGTACAATTAAAAAGGAAGGGTGGGACTAAAAAGAAGGTGTAACTGCTATAATGCAAGAGTTGACTTAGCCAGCAAGACAGTACTTGCAGTTGTGTCATGTAATGCTTGGCTTTGATCTGAAAACAACAACAAAAAAAAAGCATAGATCTGAGAAACGAGGAGCTATTTCTGGGTCATAACAAGGAGTATTAGAAATCCAGGTGTCTCTAGAAACATTACCGAGAGGAACTTTTATGAACATTTTATGTGGTGCATTCTATGCGTTTGTATGCTGTGCTTTTTAGAGAGAGACGTCAGTCTGCTTTTGTGTGTTGTTTTCAAATATTTGCAAACTGGAGCTGGATGAAAGCACTAAATGCAAGACAATGGCTAGATAGTTTGGCACTAATTGTGGGACAGACTTGGAAATAAATGGTGGAAAAAGAACTGTGGCCAGATTCTCAGCCTGCTTGCACAAGGGCATGTTTTAAGGTCAGTTGATAGCATTACAAAATAGTCCAGCTGCTTTTTTATTCTGGTAAGAAGCAAAGACTTGTATTCTAACCATTTCATACTAGGAATTGTGTAACAAAACCATTTCTTTGTTCTGAATAGAAAAACAAGGTATTGATTAAAGGATGCTGCATTCTTTCCTACTCCAGGATTAATCTGCATCCTTTGATAAGTTTGCAGATAATGAGTTCACTGAGTGGCAAAATTTAAGATATCATTTACATAGCAAAGGGTGAAAATAGTCTTGTGTTTGTGTGTTTACACACTACATAAGCATTTGAATGGATCTACTCCTAAAATCTTCATTTTAGCTAAATCTATTGTTTGATGTAGTCGCTAAAAGTGTAAGTATTGCAAAACGTAATGCTCACAGTTGTTGGCTGGCCACAAATTTTTTGGTAACCTTTGACAACCTTTGCTGTCTGTTCAACAGTTCTAACCCGCGATGCTTGCTAGGATGGGTCAGTACGTGCAGCTTTCCCAAATCAGCCCTCTTGTGGTGTTGCACTGGGGCCTTATACTGCGGTTTACAGCGGGTTTGTGATCACTTCCCTACAGAGCTGTGGCAATGTGTAGAGCACTGGATGGAAAATACTCTGGGACCTTAAGACCAGAACTACCAAAGCTTCTCCCACTTGGTCACCAGTGTTCTGGTCATGGTGTTGCTCCCCTTAACGAACCGGGGACAGTAGTGCTTGTGATGATAATGCTTACAACAAGGATTTAGCAACTAACTACAGGGATGTTCATACAGCAACTAAAACGTGCAACAAGCAGTTGCTGCGAGAAGGAAGAAAAGCCACTTTTCTTCATCTCACAGCTGTCACAGACTGTTCCCAATGCTGCTGTATTCTGCAACCTGGTTGGCTAGCTCAACTCTTGCTGGTGTATTTGTATACTGTATTACTCACTGAAAAATCATATACAAAATGCTCTTTATACCAAGGAAACAATGCCAAAAACTTAGATTCTGCCTACAGACTATACAGAGGTGTGTACATTCTTGCCTAGCAATAAGACAAACCAACCAACCCACTTTTTAGTAGCGATGACTGAAAAGTGGCTGCAAGTTGTACAGATTTCTGTATTGTGTCCTTTGGGGTGAACGTGATCCTATGATTCCCTTCAGCTCTCTACAATCAATCATGTGCAAGGGGACAGGATAGCACCTGTTCTATCTCTGTTGCTGTTCAGTGAGCTTATTCTGAGGCACTTAAACGTCTGTAAAAACTGTACAGAATTAGGGGTGATTTGTTTTGTTTTTTTGAAGAACTACTGCATTTAAGTTGAGGGTCCTGGCTTACAAATTTTGTCTAGAAGCACAGAGAAGTGTTGTTATTCTGGCAAAAGTCAGTCCCATTAGCACTGCCTTCCGGTGCCAAAGCACCTCTACCCCTGTTTCCCGCAATGATAATATTGATGCATGAAAACATAGCCTAGGAAGCTACTTTGTGGGAGAGTTTCAGTGCTGAAAATGTTGAGAATGTGCCACGAATGATTATTTATTTAGCCTTTGAATCAATGCCTTTTGGTTTCTTGTGTCAAGGAAGGCTTGTGCTTTCATTTATTTATGTGTGTGTACACAGAGGAAGGCGAGGGGGCTAATAGTCTTATCTGTACTTAAAACCTAAGTAGGTCTAATTTGCCGAATATTGTAGTGTGAGTAGTGAGACATGCCAAAGGTGGTTGTGGAAGAGCTGAACAAGAAAGAAGTCTGGCAGTTTTCCAAACTCCACTAAGCAAACAGGGCTTTGGTAAATAGGATACCCTGAAAAGCACCTTCAAGGTTGAATTTCAAAGGCTTGACGTAGAAGCATTCCTGGAGCTGCACTGCGTATTTGCTTGCACTCATTGCTGACCAAATTTTGAAGCTTTTTAAAAGCATTTCTGCAGCTGCCTTCCTCACCATCGTCCCTTTTCAGCCAACCCCTGTCCCAGTAGGAGCATGTAGCTGAACTACCCACACCAGCAAGCACTGGAATGCAAAGACAACACTTGCTCTTTGTACAAATTTAGGGCTGACATTCAAGCAAAACACATTATAAATTCTTTGTGGAGGCATTTTCATCTTCCAGCCATAGCTGAAAAGTACATAAATGAATAATATTCACTATTGTGTAAGGAAAGGTGGGGTAGGAACAAAGAAAGGACTGTTCTGTGGCCTCCTTTTCTCCCATGGAGCAGGTTCTCCCTTATCATGGAATTCTGAAGTTAAATTAAGAGCCCGTGGGAGTCCCATGGGAGTAAATAGAAATAGAAGTACTGGAATGTACAGAAACACTTTCTCCTCTACGGGGCAGTGAATTCATTTACCATTGTCCCTTCCACCCCCTGCCACATCAAGATTTTGATAGCAGACTCAATCAAAAGCAGCTTGAATTTTGTACTTCCACAATTTTTAAGGTAGAATATTCCAAGCAAAGTTATTTTTGCACTCAGCTTAATTTTAATTGTATTAAAGATGCTAAAAAGGCAAAAGAAAGAAACTGCAGTGCAAACACTTTAAGAAGCATGCAGCATAACAGCATAACTATAAATTACATCCCTTCCAATCTTTATACATTACATCTGTAAAGTGTTTGAGCAAGTTTATGTTAAAATGATCAAATCTCCCTTATGCCTCTTAGGTATTAGCCTGTATTCAGCTTCAGTATGTGCTGAATACTGACTTGTTTCTTTTATGGGAACAACTGCAACTAAATCAGTTGGTTATGCTTTTGTAATTTTTCTTTATGATTTTTTTCCTACTAAAGTCTTAATTACAAAACAAGAACTTTTCTGTCCTGATTTAACAATATTCATTAACATACTAAACACTGCATTTGGAACAAACCAAAAAGCAACAGACTAAAATATTGTGAATGAGAGTAAATAATAGGCCAAAGCCAGACAGTGAAAGATTAAATCCACTTTTCTTCTCTTGTATTAACTTCAGTTTTCTGTGTAATCTTGTAAAGTTGTCCTGTTGCCTGTATGAAGCCTTGCACCTGTGTTTCTTTCCCAAGTTACATGTTTGGGTGCAAGGAATATGGGAGGCAGCCACAGAGATTTCCCTTCCTGCAGCCACAAAGTATCTGGAGTACTTACCCATCTGAGCAGAACCGGGGGGTAGGATCAGCATTTTGGAAACTTCATTTGCAAACAGAGTTAAGCAATGGCTGTGATGGGGATCTACAGAGAGAGTTTTGGTAAAGCTGCAAAGGCAAAAGATTTAGGAACCAGGATTTCAAATAATAACACAGACCTATGTAATCATCCGAATACCCATACTTCTTTTCTTATTGCACTTGAACTCAATCCACATTTTTTTCATGCAAGCTTTAATGTATACTACAGCACCATGAAGATGTTGACAAGTAGTTAAAGCAATGCTAGTTGGACTAGTATATGATGTGCTTTGAGTAAATACTGTGATCTTTAATTTCCAGGTCTTGGTTTTCAGGGAGTGGTATTGCTCATGATACACTGGTTTTGTAAAACCTGCTGTGCAAGCAATATGCTTGTAAAAGTTTTTGATATAGTTTATGGTGATTGTAATGATTTTGTTTTAATCTCTTGCTTTATATGTGCTTTGTTTATGTATTCATTAAACTGTTTACATGACAAAACTGGCGTACTAATGATTTAATTTCTTTTAAATACTTTTAATACATTAACAGAAGTCACAACAAACTACTTCATAGTACTTGATGGGATAATGAGATAATTAAAAGAAACTTCACTTTTGTGGAAAGACACACAGTATATTTGACAAATGAAACTTACGTTTTATAAGGAGGTGGCCACACTTGAAATAACTGAAGCTGCTACATCTGCCGTTCTCACGTTCCAGTGACGGGAACTGAATCTGGCTTTTCTTTTTCATAGCAGGTAGTAATGGATGATGAATGACATAAAATAAGGCAGTGTGTCAAAACCATCAGTTTCGTTAAAGTTAATTTGATTTGTAAGGTTGGCCTCTGAGCACTTAAGAATTCTTTGTTTAAAGCAAAACAAATACAGTAACTTGCACTAAACAAGCAAGTTATCAACAGGTAAGTACCACTTATCACTTGACAAGAAAAGGTTAAGGAACCAACATCATATATGACTCATTTTAACATCTCTTAACACATATATAGTCCATATATGTTACACATGCTTAACATTTAACACATTATTTAATGCACTAATCTCTTGCATTTTAAGGAAACATTTTAAGGAAATTACTGCTTGAAACTATATACTTTATAAGAGAAATTTGGAAGTCAAACTAGTTTAGATGAGACGCTGAGAGTGAGCACCAATTCTTGGTATAGCATTAATGATGTTTTGTGTCCGGACTAACTGCAGGTACAGGCAGAGTTCAGTCACAAGTGGAACAAAGCAGTCAGGGTCCACAGATCTGTAGCAGAATTTGAAGGGAAAATCATGATTGGATGGACAGGAAAAACCTATGCACATAACTGCTTTTAGTATATTAT